CACCCCGGCAGTTTTTGACCGTCAAAAACATCCGGGGTCGACTCCCGGACCGCCCAGGACCATCCAGGACCATCCAGGACCATCCAGGACGATCCAGGACCACCCCGGTGCCAACACGGTGTCAACACGGACCGAATCCCGGATCACCCCGGATGGGGTCCGGGATGGTCCGGGACGGTCCGGGACGTATATGGGACTGTATACGGTCCCATATACAGCCCGGACCGTCCCGGACCATCCCGGACCCCATCCGGGGTGATCCGGGATTCGGTCCGTGTTGACACCGTGTTGGCACCGGGGTGGTCCTGGATCGTCCTGGATGGTCCTGGATAGTCCTGGATGGTCCTGGGCGGTCCGGGAGTCGACCCCGGATGTTTTTGACGGTCAAAAACTGCCGGGGTGGTCCGGGACGGTCCGGGACAATAGTTTGATCCGGGGTGATCCGTGTAGCCACCGTGCTGGGTCCGGGGTCATCCGTAGTGGCGCCGGGGCGGTCCGTGTTGATCCGTGGCAGTCCGGGAGTGAGTTATTGACCGCCCAGGACCATCCAGGACCATCCAGGACCACCCCGGTGCCAACACGGTGTCAACACGGACCGAATCCCGGATCACCCCGGATGGGGTCCGGGATGGTCCGGGACGGTCCGGGACATATATGGGACTGTAGCTTAAAAGCATCACACTTTTTTGAACAAAACATCCCGGACCATCCCGGATCACCCCAGACCATGGTCCGGGATGGTCCGGAGTGGTCCGTGCTGGTCCGTGCTGGTCCGGCTTTATATGGGACTGGGGCTTTAACAATCTCCTGATTATTTTTTCATTCATTCATTCATTCGTCATACATTCATTTCATTTCATTTATTCATCCATTCATTTATTCATCAATGCATTCATTCTTCTATCCATTATTGTTTTAATTCGTTTCATTCGATATCCACATAGTATAGCGAATCTCTACATTCAGAAATGTTTTCTTTTTATTGTGGGAAAAATGAGGCCTTTTTCTATAACGACGACAAAACACCTCTGCCTTCGATGGAACAAACATATGTTGGTGAACATGTCATCCAGACATCAGAATTGATTAATGACTGAGTCACACCGACGAGGCCGACAGATCGATAATCGACCCATTTCAAAACTCCATTACCCCTAATGGCCAATAATTGGTCGTTATCGAGAGGGTTTGGCGGTGTGATTGATAACCCGGTCACATCTACGCACTCCGCGCCGACAACAATGATCAAATAATGGCAAGTTCTCTCAATGCACGTGAACTCAGTTTGAAGTCGGTTTGGCGTTGTGAACATTAAATGGCCCTAGTTATACCAACGAGACCGACACCAGACCGATAACAGACCCTCCAAGCAAGTTTATTACCTCCAATTACCACGAATCGGTCGGCTATAGGAATAGTTTGGAGGTGACTGAGAGGTCATGACATCGGGGCATCCCAGTAGACCGACAATCAACGAGACCGACAGTGTCGGTCCAGTGAACCTTAAACAAAAGTTTTCATCAGGATAGACCAACATTTTCAGTCTAATGGGCTTGCAGCCTAATGACACTATTCTGCCTTTAAAACTGTTTGAGAACGACAGACACCTTCTTAACAGGGGGGGGGGGGGGGGGGGGGTGTGGTGCTGTCAAAGCTCGCTTTAACAACATATATAATCCTAATAATTGCTATCATGATTCCTACACTGCTTTTATAAGCCGTTATGTTTTCTCAGAGCACATTCAAGTAAACATGTTGCCTGCCTTAGTGATTCAGGAAACGTTCCCGAGGGCATGTACATAGCGGAAGACATGCCAGACCAATCTGTATCTTAAAGGGAAATTCCAGTTTCTTTGGTAACGGCATTCCGATTTTCTTTTTATATGACTGTTCGAAGTAATAAAACCTCTCTCTATATATATATTTTCAAAGGAGTAAACATTGTAAATGAGGAACTAAAAGTAAGTATGATGAGACATGTTTAGTCTTGTCTCTATTTACACACTCGTCGATTTGATTTATGATGAACATACTTTTTTGGCATTCCATAATTTATTGCACGAAAAAACATGATTACCATGTCATAAACAATTTTTTTTATCGAATTCATGTTTATTCTCCGTAATGATCATGTTATACTTATATCGTTTATTACCCACGTTTTTCTTAATGTGGTTTATTTTATATAACATTTGCAGATGTATTTTGCACAGATACATACAATCATGTAGGTTACCAGCGACCAGTTACCAGTTTATAGCGACTAGAATACAACAATTTGCAATAAGGGAGAGAAAGAGAGAAAATGTAATCAAACTTTAGGAAATATAAAAATAAAAATAAATTGAGAAAAAGATAAATAGATAGACAGGTAGATCAAGGAAGAGAGAGAGAGAGAGAGAGAAAGAGAGAGAAAGAGAAAGAGAAAGAGAGATTGCAAAAAAGATCGTTGAACTTGTGTAACAGATCAACGCTGCTTCAGCACACGCAGTGTGACGCTGGTTGTATCAAGCTGTCACCGTATGAATATCCCCGTGACTGATGCGTCGATGGACGGGATTAATCTGACAAGATTTTGTGCACTTTACCGTAATTATGCCCAATATGATACACTGTTTCACGACAATGATGTCAGATGTAAACTTGTTCATTACACAATTAAAAAAAAAAGGATAATACATGTAGTCTGATACCGGATCCACCATTTTTGATAGCAAACTACTCTAGCGTTTCCCTTTAGAAAAGCTATTACAGTATGCTCTCATTAATATATTCTGAGTAGTACCTCATGGGAGATTAATGCCATTGTTGTACACTAGAATCGGAAGAGTTATCCGCGACTCCGTCTCATTCCCCTGACCAAACGGGCAATTTAAGATTCACATAGATATAGTCATCTCATATTTCAAACATTCATAACTTTCTTATTATTGGTCTGATTTATTTCAAACTTTCACCATTCTGTTCATTTTATCTTTCTGCTTTCATAATTCATAAATGACATTATTACAAGGGTTTGATTTCTCTTTGAAATCGATCTGAAGTCGACTTGAACCAGAGAACGTAGACCGCGTGTCTGGTGTCCATTTGTCAGGTGTGTCCCTGAATTAGACCAAGCTAAAACCCAGCCTTGTGTTAGTTAACCTTGTTGCGAACAGGAGCTCTTGGAAGCTCTTTCTATCACAACAATTATGAACAAATGCCAAAAATAGGATATGATCAATTAGCGCTTACATTAACACTTTATCAGCACTGTAATGCACTCCAATGCCAGTTTCTAGAAATTCAGAATGCCTTTTCGCATTGTGGCTAGGGTCCCTGCAAGAGCAATATAATTATTATCATGAACTTGTTTAGCTCATGTTGAACGCTCTGTCACTATAAACCCATTAACTACATATCCCTAAAAAAATTCTGGCCACGCCGCTCAACCTAACTGTAGTCAACGATGTAAGTTAACGTTCAAGTTAATTGCAGTAGACAGATTGCTTTCATTAAATTCCGATTCCAATTAATGATGTCACAGTTCGCTTGCCCCAACAGTTTTCCTTTAATTTGGAAAATTCTGGATATCAGATGTAGAGATGCCAACATCAACTACAGTACTAATTTAGGGTTTATTGGAAATAGTGCATGACATCATATTCCTGGGAAATCAAGTCTGAATTTCTTATTAGAAGGTTATCTGGAAATTTATGCATGACGCTGACTGACTCTACTGGAAAGTTTGAATTATCCATGGGTGTTGGTGGTTGATCTATTGCATTTTCGTTACGGCAGGTAAAATTATACAGTTTTTAATGACCAATAGAGGGAGCCGTAATCAGATAAAAACCAGAGCCATTGATTAGGAGAGTTTGGGCAAACCGGTTCGAGTTGGGTACAATAATGGCGAATACTGCTTTGTTGGGCAAGCACAAAACAAACTAATATACGCCACGTTGTGACCAAATGAAACTAAGTCGGCCGAATTATGTGTCTAGATGGCCTGGTAAATACCGATAGTCTGATTAATTCTAGTTAATGTTTTTTTGTTTGTGTATGTTAATAATGCAGATTTCATTATTACATTAGAGCTTTTAGGCAACCTCGCGTCTTGACTGTAGTAAAAACTGCTCTAAGAATGAGATTGCTCTCTAAAACGGTTGTACAATGTAACTATCCTTTGCAAGAAAATGTGTAACACACGATAATCAATTTTGATCACTGATACAGGCTCACCAATTTACTGCGACTAGACGTGCGTTTCATTAATGCTTGCTCTATATCTCTCTCAAATTCGCACCATCCTTCTTCTACCCTCTCTTGGCCTTTTAGTAATAATAATATCGCCTCTCATGTTTTTTTAAGCATTAGACCATTTTGCTCTTTTCTGTTAACAGGCCATCCATATCTTATGTAAATCAATTCACCTTATTATACAAGATGCACATTTAGCATAGGCCCTAATATGTATTTTTTTGTAACGATTAATACAAGTCATGGACGGTATCCCGAAGCACCTTACATATATAGTATTACCCAAGTCATCGGATTCAGGCTTACCCGCAAACAATGAATGCACATTTTACACTCCGTTGGGAGCATAATAGCAAGACATTTTACAGATGTTCACATTAAACTGCAAATACTTTTGACATTTCACAATGTGGGTGGAGAGAAGCAGTGTAGATAAAATACCTTCCTGCGCAACGTAACGCGCCGGTCTGGCAAGAAAGTGTCCACTCCCAGGGATCACCGGCTATGGCCCTTGGATCTAAGAACTTACTCCCTTTTTAATCCTCCCTAATATTTAAACTAATTATGTAAATATATATATTTTTATTTATAAGAGCATAAACCACAATTTTACTCAATGAACATCCAATCGCAACAACAGCCGATGATCGCACCCTCGATCTTTGTATCCCCATTCAAGTGTTATAACCACTCGAGTATAATACGACACATTACTTGCCATGTTCATGATTAAATCATTATCATTTCTTTCGTTCTGACAGGATACGGAGACATTGCTCCTGAAACTACCGGAGGGCGTATTTTCTGCATCTTCTACTGCATCGTTGGAATACCACTGGCCCTGCTCTGCTTGGCAAACATCGGCAACCTCCTGGCCCGACTCACTCTCAAGACCTGCAGGGCAACCCACTACTGTCTTGTTGTACGCCACAAGGTCGGCGCTAGCTGTCGAAGATGCCGCGGAACCTCTAAAAGTCACCCCGAAACATCGTCTCAGAGGAAAATAATTAACGGGGAAGTGGAAATATCAATGGAAAAAGTTGGCAGACCGCCTGCGTATGAATCTAAAGAGAAAGAAGCCGATCGAGCTAACGCAAACAAAACGTCAGATGCGAATACGAATGATCACGCAATTACACGCTCGGTATCGATAGCCACGGATAGACCGACGTCGCAACCGCACGGCGTGACCAAGCAACCGAGTTCGGATGTGTGCGAGCTAGGGTCGGGCGCGGGCGTACCGTCCTGCGGTTGCCCACCTAACCAATGTCAGTGCGAGCATAAGCCGGACGTGCTCGAGGAAGTCCCGCTTCTCGTTATAGTCGCCATTTTGATAATCTACATGTGTGGGGGCGCTGCGTGGATGGCTTCAGCGGAGGGATGGGACTTTGGCACAGGGATTTATTTCATGTTTATAACGCTCACCACCATAGGGTTCGGTGATGTTCTGCCCATGAAGCACTATGCTGCTGATACGTTCATACCCTGTCTCTTCTTCACGCTGTTTGGTCTCGCCATCATGTCCATGTGCATTGCACTTGTCCAGGTTAAAGTTTTGCGGGGCTACCAGTTGATAACGACGAAGCTTGGTCTGTGCTGAGACGAATAACAATTAGAATCAAATAACTTGCAAGTTAATGTGGTGGTGGTGGTTATTTTACCTGACTGCTAAGAAAGCACAAATGCTTGTTAGTAAGCAACCAGAGGACCGACAGCTTTAGGTCACCTCCGAGTATGATCAAAGAGAATTTGATTCTTTTCCTGTCAGATGCAGATTTGCCATGAAAACGAGTCCGTTCTTTGAAGGCACTTTCACCTGTTGCGTTCAGATATCCAAGGTTTTAAGATGTAAGTTCATGCATTCGAAAGATGGAAAACAGATCTGGTCCAACTGAATGAACGTCGCTGTCGGACGAAACCTGCAAGCCAATACTCAGATCCAGCTGGATCCTTGACGCTTATTTGCAAGGAAAGCTGCAAAAGAAAGCTGCATACTTTATTATACAGCTTTGTTAAATGGAAACATCGTGTTGGTCTGTGTCACTGACACGTGAAGACAAGAAGAAACAAAAATCAGTGATTTCATGAAAGTGGACTTTTTCGTAACCAGAAGACGAAAGAAAAAGAACTTCAGATCACTGATCTCCCCCAAATCGATTTCCTTGGAGCAAGACGTTACGAAGAGAAGATTCCTGGGACCCGTTTCACAAGCCCTTTTTTCAACGACAAATGACAACAACCAGTGACAAATCGGCTGATAACCAATCAGAATCAAGGATTTCACTAGCTTATAACAAAAAACTGTCATTTTTACAAATGAAAAGTTTTGTAAAATGGGGCCCTGATATGATACTTCTGTCACACCGCCAAACCGACTGATTTCTGACCATTGTGGATAGTGTAATTTCTCGTCCGGTCTGTAGTCGGTCACGTTGTGATGTGATTGAGGTATTACTTGGGACGAGGAGACGCGAAGACGACTTTCCTGATCTTGTGCAGTCCGATTTATACGAGAATGGGACATCCGAGTAGACCAACAGCCCAGGAGAGCAACACATTTGGTTGGTGACCCTTCGAAAAAGTTGTCAGAAGGTCTACTAAACAGACACGTCAGTTTCACAGACCGTGCGTCGGTATCATGAACCCTCAGAAACCTTTTCAGAAGGCCCGCAAGACCAATACTGTCGGTACATGGGCTGTCGGTCTTGTAGGTCGATGATCAAGTCGGCCCTATTTAGGACAAGCAATCGAGATGACGAGATCTTCAGGACGAACGAGTAGATGAGGCGATATGCGACGAATAATTTCATAATAGTGTTTATCTCAAATGAGATGAATCCTTGAAATCCAGGGTTGCATATTAAAAATGCCTCTTGCCTTTACAATAGTTTCAAGATCTTGTATTGCGTTGTTGCTATCACGTCTTGCTGTACGCGGGAGTCGACTAATACAGCGAAATATTTCATTTTGAAGGATGTTGTATGGAGCTTTTGAGCTTCCATTTAATTTTCGAACGGAACCATGTGCATTGTTGCCCTTAAAGTTGGAGTAATCTTTTACCTCTTTTCATGAAATGATTGTGATAATATGGTTTATTTTGTATATATAAATTCATATCCTCTCAGAACTTCACTTTTTGATCTTAATGACTTTTTAGATTGATAACTGAAGCTCTGTGAAAATATTTACCTTATCAATATTAAAAATATGCCTATATTTGCAGTCACTTCATGAAAAGAGGTAAAACAAATTATATTCTAACTTTACGGACAACGAAGTATATATGAATGGTCTGTTATTGGCATAATACATATGCCTACATTGCTGAATTATTGAATATATTATTGTTGTATTGTTTACGAAGTCTTTGCAAGTCATATCATCAATTTCTATGTATTTACTTTCCAATATCAATGCTAGTATAGTATACGCTATATATACTCGGGCTGCAAAAAAGCTGCTAACTAAAAAAATCAATTGACATGAAAAGCTCATTATGGAAAGAATTATTTTATTGCATACGAGCATATCCGTTCAAAAGTAACTTTGATTAATATAGCTGTAATAGAAACTTTATAATTGCCTCCAAAATCTTGCCTAATGGTCAATTAAACCGTTTCAACGTTAATTAATTTATGGACTCACGTCATCTGGCTAATTAACGGAAATGATTTTACAAACAAATTTCTGCCTCATCCGTGTTACATCTAATAACAAATACAGAGTCGTGTATTTTTTGAGAAGGTAAAGGGATTGAATATTTGAATTATATATTTATAAAACATTGTCCACTGTTGGCGGAACATTTTCTTCATCATGTTCACGTAATGGCCGAAGACACTATAATAATATGTTAACCTTTAATTTGTAAGGCTGAAATATCGGCAAAAAAGTCGTAATTATTCGTAAAATCGACCTGAAATCAATTTTATAACCGTTCATTTTCTACCAAAAAGTATTTCATCATGTTCATAGATTCATAATTACACTTTTCAGTGAAAAAGAAATATTCAAAGAACTGCAGAAGTGATGTGTGAAATTTTTCAATCATTTCAACAAAATTATTCATTACTTGATTTTAAATTATGTTATGAAGAATATTAATTTGTTAAATTATCTAGTGGTGGTTTGCTCGAAATCTTTTTCACAAAGTAGTGATACAAATTTGGATTTACCTATTAAATGCCTTTCCTTTTCTTTTAAATGTTACAAAAGGTTCGATTGAATCTAAGTAAAATAATTTTTAAAAAGAGGTCTGATCTTGTATTTAATATTTTCATATTTATTAAACCATTCTTGATATTATTTTTTCTATTCATAGACTCACGCTTTTTGGGTCTACTAGGGGCGTTTAATGTGTTAATATCATTTTTTTTAAATAAAAGCATGAACGTATTTTCAAATCTTATTTCCTGCTATAGCATTGCGAAATATAATAATAGTGTATAATATAGTATAGTCAATACACGCAGGCATGTATATATAAACAAAGAAAATTATTGATTTGATAAGCTTGCCAAAGATATATATGAGAATACATAAAGTATTTCAGTTTTGTAAATTTGATAAATTTTGAATTCTTCTCATAAGCTTTGTATTACTTTCTACTCACTGTCATGTTGTGCCTTCCTTTATTTGTGAATTGTTTTGATAAGTAATTAATTACTATCATTTGATCGTTTTATTTTTCGATTACAATTCGAAACATAAAAACAACAACAGTCACCACCACCACCAAAACAGCAGAAACAACAACAACTACTACACAACAGCAACAGCACAGCAACAAAAACATTAACTTAAACACAGTTTACTAATGAAAAGGAGATCAAAATTAATGTTGCTGCGTTGGTTTCAGTGCGTGTTCCTACTCCTTTATACATTGATGATCAGGTAGTAATATCTTTTAGGCTGTGGTCAACTTATGCTTTTTACTACTCCAAACTCGTCCGATTTCTTAATTGTAAATTTGAGACTTTTTAACCTTTTATTTAACAAATCAATGTGCTGATTAATACCCCATTAATGAAAAGTAGTGGAAATCCACTAATTTAAGAGTTATTACGCTGGGACCACTTCATTGTGGAGTTGAATTCACTTTCAAAAATTAGTGGAATAAATCCAAAAGTAGTGGTGTAAATTACTCTTCGAGAGTGGATTTCACTATATATTTTTTTTGCGTGAGTTTGCACTCCAAAACATAGTGACGCTCATATCACACTCTTAAAAGAGTTGATAACCACTCCTATTCATTTAGAAAAGATGAAATAGGTTGATAAATCGCCATTCAATAAACATTACCAAAGCAATGCAAATGATTTTTTTTATTCAACCGAGCCACTGCTTGGAAGGAGTGAAATGCTTCAACATTTGTTCCTGTGACAAGTTCGACAGCCTTTACTTTGTAATATCTTGGGTGAGGGTTATAGGGATTAGGGTTGCATGGTTTTCCCGTCAGGTTTAGGTTCATGGTTATGGTTAGGTTAGCTTAAGAATTCGGTTACTAGTAGTGTAGTATGTTGACCGCGGAGTGGTAATAAGCCAGTTCGTAAATACTATCTGCGCATGGGCATATAAAGGTCATTTTGTTCCCAAATTGTAAAACCCTTCGAGACGAATAGTATCTGCTCATGAACGTAATATGTAATCAGTATTCATTTATCCACCGATGGTACATTTATCTCAGAGGCAAACAAGAGGTATTCATTAAGCACCTCCATCACTTCGGCAGTGATTATTCTAAAATGCACAAGTGCATGGGACGTATCCATCTTGTAAAAGATCGGTGAATATTTTGGGGTCATGCGTTCCGAAGTTATTTACGAACTGGCTTATTTTCGCCGTAGCACGTGTCGGATGTGACCCGTCCGTCCCTGGTGTAAGTGCTGTACAGACGAGTTCGTAGTACTGTCTTCAATAATGTGATATTCAATTCCACAAAGAGCGCCCTCATTTGTTGAAGAAAAAAACACCGCTGTCGATAACATTTGAATAATATTTTCTTAACTCTTTTCATGAAATGATTGTGACATTATGGCTTATTCTTTACAGATATAGTTTATTCTTAATAGTTTAACTCTTTAGAGCCTTATTGGTCAACCTCTATAACTCTTAAGATCGATGATTATAGTTCTTCAAAGATATATATGCTTTATTTATGAAGAATAAATCATACTCTCATAATCTTTTCTTGAAAAGAGGTATCGAAACTATTCCATCTTTATGGGCAATAGTGTATATAAAGATTACAGTAATAACATTATTAAAGATGGCATGTTTATCATCATCAAGCAACTACGCATTTTTTAATTATTCAATTTACGTACTAAATAGTACATTAACGAACGAAAATAGAACAAGCTCTCCGTAATGCCACCTTTCATATTCGTGTAAACAGGTGTTGTTTATTTTGCTTTATATGTCGTGCTAATTTATGATTTGATTGCAAATTGCAAAAGACCTGTTTTTCTGTCTTGTACCTATTAAGATATGCGTTTAGCTTCCAAATCAAAAGGCAAAGGTGTGCACTGTGCATAATTGCCAACCAATTTTTCTTTTTTTTTCGAATGAGACTACTGCCTTTTATTTATATTATATTATATTATATTATATCACAATTACAAGTTTTATACTTATGCTGTTTATGACATTATCATTAAATGATACTTTGAAAAGCAAACACAACTTAACATTTCTTGATTTCTTCTTTAAAGATAAATAAACTTTGCTCTATCTCATCTAAACGAGCCTGTAAGTATATACTGGCTTGTATGATTTTGTATCCGGTTTAAGAGAGAAAGAGAGAGAGAGAGAGAGAGACAGAGAGAGAGAGAGAGAAAGAGGGAAAGAGGGCTAGAGAGAGAGAGAGAGAGGGAATAGAGAGAGAGAGAGAGAGGGAGAGGGGTAGAAGAGAAAGAGATAAAAAGATACATACACAAAGGTAAAGAGTATTGGGGGGGGGTAGTACACAAAAAAGTGGTAGGCTAAAATACTATTACATGTAGAGGAGCTTTAAATTTCACGACATTAAGAATGATCTGAAACAAAAAAGAAATTGATGATTAAAACAAAATAAATTATAAGATTTATCCAATGAAATCGCGCCCCCCCCCCCGTCAAAATTGTACGAGGAGACACAGGATGAAATTCGTTCAACTTCAATTGATGGTGGAAAGAAACTCAAACGAAATAGGGAGCTGTTCAAGTCAGGCATAATGCAATGACTTTTAATAAATAAAAAAATTATTGAAAGGTAACATGAGGATAAGGGACAAACGACAACAAGTCCTGTAAAGAGGCATGGGGGAGGGGCAGAAGGGGCACTTACCCCGGGGGCACTTAAAGGGGCCCCAAACGTAAAAGGGCGGAGGAGGGGCAGAAAACCTAAGGGAAAGAAAGAGTAAGGAAACAAGGAAGATAAATTATGATTACATCATTGGTTATAACTATGTGCCTCAATATATTGCATAATAAATGAGTTTTTGAGGGTTTTATAATGCAATAATCTTTAATAGCTCAGTTTTTTTCTGCCTCGAATAATATAGCTTTGAGGTGAAGTGAACAGAAAATCGTTATGAACATTCAAAATTCGAGACTATCGTTCAATTGCACTGCTCCCATGTGTTCTCTTGGGGAAAATGGCATTTTCGAGGATTAAAAAAAAAAAAAAAAAAAAAAAAAATGTATAGGCCCTGCCGCCCAGTCGCTTTGCTCTTCATGTTTCGTGGAAAGTGATTACGACTTAATTAATTGTAGATATGGGGGATAGGAGGGGGGGGGGGGGGGGGTTAATGCATCCTTGTATGTCTAATCTTAAATTTCTTCATCGTCAATCAATCTTTATTTTTATCTACATGTATTAGCCAGCTTGTCATAACCGATGCGTCAAAAAGTGAAGCATGTACAATAATGTTTTAAAATAAATTTCAAATTTATAGCCCACTATGCTAAAGTTCAACAAGGCATTTACACCAACCATTGTTACACACATGATTAACGCTAGAGGGGGTGAAACCTAGAGTCGAATATTTGTGAGCATCCGCGATGCACCCTTTCTATATATATTTTGTCGACAAGACGGCCCTTTTGATTAATGTTATTTTTGACGAATCACATACAAATGAATAAAATGGTTAAGACTCCCTTTTTTCCTTTCTCGAACATGTTTTTGTCGGCTAAAAGATCAATCGGAAGACCTTTTTTCTCTTCCGGGGGAGGGGGAGGGGTGGATGGAAGACATTTGGTCTCTGATGTTAGAAACTTTGATCCTACCCCCTTCAAAACGAAAAAGAGTAGCGCCATCCCTAGTTGGAGGGGTGGATGGCGAAATGTGACAAGGAATTCTTTGTGACACCGTTTTAACCCGATGATTACTGAATTATCTAATCCCCAAAGACCTAATAGTAAATACAGAGATCATCCGGGCATCGTTTTCACAAAACCGTCATAAGTACAAGATCTATCTATCATCCAATTAAAGCGCGTGTTAATTGTAATACACGCGTTTCAAGGAGATGTCGACGAACTTGTAATTATAACATAAGTACGGTCTCGTGAAACACTGCCCAGGTTCCCCCGGAGGCAATGGTACCACCTTTTCTTTGTAAAAAGGATTAGCATTTCCTGGCACATGAAGATATTTTGTCATTATGATGAATGTGGAAGGTTGATCCTTGGGGAATTCAGGACTGTGTCATTGAACAGTAATGCGTTTGCAAACAAAATAATACAAAGAGAATAGAATAATGTTCAGAACGAGGAGAAGGGGGAAGGAGAGAGAGAGAGAGAGAGAGAGAGAGAGAGAGGATGTTAAATGATGAAAAAGGGCATTTCTATGCCGATCCTTCAATTTATTTTCGCATCTTTCTCCATGTACGATTCAATGGTGGAACCAGAAATCTAAAGTAAGAGGAATATCAACTTTTACCGCAAAATAAGTGTTGTGATCAAAAATTATAATGATAAAGATATAACGGAATAAGCTACGGCTGGGGCCCTGGGGACTGGGGTAGAGGTGGCCCTGTTATAGTGTCCCCACTTTCACCACCAGTCATCACC